AAATACAGACAATTTTGCCCCTAAATTATAGGACTGAGGTGTTGATTTAAGCAAGTACTCACATCTGGATTTTGTTTAATTCACTAATGTGAAAAATTATTTCTGCATTCTCGTAATATACTGAACCTTGTGGGAGTAGGTGGGATTGGGGAACACGGATTATGAAAAGGGCATGTGGCATAACCTCTGCTTTTAAGGGGTTTGAATCTTAAAAATACAAGAGCTCAGATATAGACAACTCCTGGAGACTGTAGAACTGCTGTGTTGGCCAAAGATTCCTGAATAATAGAAGTAAGAAACACCAGGGTGACCTCAGGCAGTTGATGAGGAATGGAGCGAATCGAGCTGGGAAGAATGGACACACGAGATTGGAGAGCATGGGAGACAGAAGTAGAATAGAGGCCTCTGAGTGCAGGAGCTGTGCGCTGGGTGAGCATGGTGCGGGCAGCCACGAAGTGATCAGCCTACTTCTCTTAGCAGGATAGAGCTTTCAAGTTTTGCAAAAACTAGAACTACTCTTAGTGTAGAGCTGCACTTCCTTGTATTCTCTCCAAATCCTGAAGCCTAGACACAACACCTGAGGCCTTCTTAGACAGTGCTCAACTTATTTCTTTGAAATACATACACATGTACACATTACAGAGGTTTCCATAATTAAAAGTCAGGCCATTTGGGAGGGTACATGAAAACATGGGTGGCAGAGAATGCTCAGAACTAAGCACAGTTTTAGCCAAGTGGCCCAGAGTTGTAGGAATGCTTTGCTCTGTTTCTCTCTCTCTTTAATTTATTTTTATTGGAAAGGCAGGTACAGAGAGAGGAGAGACAGGAAGATCTCCTGTGTGATGATTCACTCCCCAAGTGACAACAGCCAGAGCTGAACCAGTCCAGAGCCAGAAGCCAGCAGCTTCTTCCATGTCTCCCACGTGGGTGCAGGGGCCCAAGGCTTTGGGCTGTCCTCGACTGCTTTCCCAGGCCACAAGCAGGGAGCTGGATGGGAAGTGGGGCTGCCGAGATTATAATCAGTTCTCATAAGGGATCCAGGCAGGTTTAAGGTGAGGACTTTAGCCACTAGGCCATGGTGCTGGGCCCTGCTCTATTTTTCTTTAAAGAGTTAGCAGCTGAGCCTGTGTCCTGGAGGTCAGTGGAAGGCGTGTTTGAAGCAGCATTCTTCTTAGCTCCCCAGGTGTTTGTTCAGCAGAAGTTGTTCAGCCTCCTTCTGTAGTGCAGTCACACGAGTATCTCAGCATTAAAGATTTCAATTGCCCTGATAAATCGCCAAAGACCTATTGTTTTAAAATATGCTTCATATTGACTGTGTTGAATCTGATGTTTCTAGTATTCATCTCCATTTCATGCTTCTTTCATATTACTAAAAAGATACACTTTAAAATGAGAAAGCGTGTTTGTGCAGACATTGGTTTGTGAACTGAGCAGCAAGGATGGGAAGTGCCTTAAGCTTGCACTGTAGGAACGTGAGAGGAAGCCTTTTATAGGATGCTTGAACACAGAAATATAGCAGTGTATCTGATTGGTTGGCGTGAGCATTTGCTTTGTTTGAGCTGTCCCAGTGGAAGGTTCCTGATCATGTAACTAGTGCCCAGTTGGCCACTTGTAATTAATTGAACTGAAGTCTTGTTTTGTTTATGGAGAAAACTGGGCAGTTGGAACATCTCATCCCAGTGGCCTCCCATGAGGTTATTTCATAGCTTACATACTTGCATAGGAACTCTTTTTACTTTGTGAGTTCTTTTTTTTCAAAGGACAGCACATTGCATTTGGTTATATTTGATTATAGTATCAGTATTACTCACATTGGAGGAATTTTCCTTCACCACTGCCAAGGAATGGCAGATAGCCTCCTGGACCAGGGCAGCAAAGCTGGTTCTAAATTATGGTGACTTATCCATTTCCTCATTTTCACCTGGAATTGTCCTGAGTGTTATTCTCGGTGACTTTGTGTTCCGCAGTGAAAATCCTCATTCTGACCCGAGTGATGAGGGCGGCTGGGCAGTGACAGGTGAGCTTCGCCACCCATGAGCCCGACTTTGCCTCTGCTACCCAATCTTCTTTCAAGCAGTCCTTAGACGCACTGAAGCAGCCTGCGGAATTAATGTTGCTATTCCTGTACAAGGTGCTGTCGACCTAAAGGAAATGGGTACTCTTTTGAAGTACTTTAAAAGCTGAAATAGGATTGATTTTCTAAGGAGAGTGAAGATAGTGTTACTGGAATGCTGATGGAGAAAGGTGGATGCTAAGGGAGTACGTGGTGACTTGGCAGCACTGGGTCTATGCCATGGCTAATGATTATGGGCTGCCACAGTATGATGGCTACACACACAGGAACTCTTCAGAGTTTCCTGGGATTCCTCTTGGCCTGTCCTATCCCCATTGGGTTATATCCAGTACTTTCTTCCCTAAATGCTTCCACAGCCCATACTGACCCTGGCCAAAGCTAGCAGCTCAGAACCAGCTCTGCTGTCCCACAGGAATAACAGAGATGTAACCACATGAACCGTCGTGTGCTGCCACTTGCTGCCTCCAGGATACATATCAGTAGGAAATTGAAATTGGGAGCATAGCCAGAGCTTAAACCCAGGCCCTCAGATGTGGGTGCCCATGTCCTAAGCAGCATCTTAACCACTCTACCAAATGCCCACCCCAATCCAAACTTACAGAAAAAAAGTAAAGTGAGCAAGGCCAGCCCTGGAGTGTAGGAGGTTAAACTTCTGCCTGTGGTGCTGGCATATTGTGTGTGTGCCAGTTTGAGACCCAGCTGTTCCACTTCTGATCCAACTCCCTGCTTTTGTGCCTGGTAAAGCAATGAAAGATGGCCCAAAGCCTCAGGTCTCTGGACCCATGTAGGAGACCCTGAAGAAACTGCGGCTCCTGGCTTCAGACCAGCCAAGCTCTAGGCCTTATGGCTATTTGGGATTGAAGATCTCTCTCTCTCTCTCTCTCTCTCTCTCTCTCTCTCTCCCTCTCCCTCTCCCTCTCCCTCTCTCTCTCCCTCTCCCTCTCCCTCTCTCCCTCCCTCCCTCTGTCTGTCTCTCCTTTTTTTCTAAGTAAATCTGCAGTTCAAATAAAACCAAGTTATGTTTAAAAAAACATAGAACAAAATAAGAGAATGTTTAGTCAAACTTTGTAGTGCATAAAGATTTCCTGATTCTCCTCTGTTCAGAACAAATTCAGACTAGGGTTGCACTTAAAGGAATTTTCTCAGAGGAGTCTTGGGATTGATGTGCAAAGGGGAAAATTCATCACTTCCTTAGAATTAAAGGCTCACATCTTCAGTATGCGTAGTCATCAGTAGATGTTAATGTAGTTTCAAAGTGTACACACAGATGCACACACAGCCCATCTTCTACTAATATGTTAAGACCCGCCTAGAAGCAGGCGGAGATGCTGGTTATCCCAGACAGAGCTTGCCTTTGAAACCTGAAGGTGAAAATCACCTTCCATTGCTCCTAACTGAATGAAGTAATGGCATAAGGCACTGGGCTTGTTTGCTTCCAGCCAATTCATGGAATTATAAGAAAACGGTATTTCAGCTTCATCATGAAAGAGTGGTCATGGTTCAGGGAAGTAAAGTTGTTTGCTTCATGGTGGAATTCATAGGCATTCTTTCCCTGCCCCTAAATTGGCGCATAATGATTGCATATCTTCATGGGGTACAGTGAGGTGTTTCCACATTCTGCATAATGTGCAGTGATCCAGTCACATGATCAGCATGTCTGTTACTTCAAGCATGTATCATTTTCTGTGTGTGTGTGGTGAAGATTCCAAAAATCCTCTGTTGCTATATTGAGATGCACAAAGAGGTATTGTTAACCATAGTCACCCTTCGGTGCTATAGAACACTAAAACTTAATCCTGCTGTCTGTATTTTCTGTACTCATTCATCAGCCTTCTCCATCTCCCTCTCTGCTTCTAAGAGATCAACTCCTGTAGGTTTTGTGTCAACTCTGGGTTTTGTTCAGGGCCCTTGGAACTCTATGAGGAGTAATGAACCCGGTGACAGAGGAAGGGCGTCTTGCTGCTTTGGCCAGCCCTCAGAGAGATGCCCCCATTTTTTGTTTCCCAGTTATGTTACAGTTTGTGAATTAATGGTATCCCAGGTTGATCAAGAGTAACCATTAGGAAGGGCAAGAATTGTCAAGGGATCACCTGCCTTAGACGTTGTAACTCCTTCATTTTGCACACAGAAAAGGGAAGTCGGCTTCATATTTTATTACTTTAGAAAGTACTTTTTTCCCCTAAGTTTTCTCTAGTCACAGTTGCAACTGTTGTTTTTATTAGCATGCAAACACAGAAAATTAAAAAGTAGAAATATGGCTATTTTTCTTGGGGTGGTGGAGGGTGAATAACTTGCTTGGGTTTCTATTCAGGGCTGCAATCTGAAAAAATATTTGAAACCTTTGTTTTTAAGTGTGAAAAATTATCATATGTATATTAGAATATGTATATTTATATTAGAATATATTTATAGTAGAATATGTATATGCATATTCATATGTATATGTATATACATATTCGTATTCATATGTATATGTATTTGATAAATATGTATATTTATCAAAATGTTCATGTGTGCTTAATATCAGCTTAAGAAAAATTTAAGTATGAAAATCAATTTTAAAGTGTTTGACCCCAGGCATAAATAATGGCATTATCTTTCTTTAATTTGATTGCATTAGCATTTCTCAGACTTATGAAAGGATCCCTGAGTAACTGCCCAGATCCATTCTATTAAGGCCAGAAAAGAAATTGTGTGTACCTATACTAGAGGCATATTTTTAAGTAAGTGTAAGAATTCATCACTTCACGTAATAGTGTGTTTGAATTTACTTTGTGATGATTATGCAGCAGAACAGGTCTCAGGTCACATGCTCAAAGTACTGAACTTGCCTTGTCTTTTTCTTTCATTGCTTTGCTCCGATGGCCTGCTGTGTTGACAACCCTCTTTGTCTCCACCGCTGAATTTGTTGCTTTCTGTCATTCAGGAAACCTCCCAAGGTAAGCACTGTGATGGTATTTGGCCTGTATGTTGAGTTGATGTTCAAAAATCCAGGATTTTACTCATCGCATCCCTTATGGAACCCCTGACCTTTTGAAAAGAAAACAACAGAATGTTCTAATTTAAAACTGAATCTGTGCACAATGAGTTGACTTTGGCAATAATATAAAATATAGATGTTAGTGGACATTCACAAAACATTCTCACACATTGCCTCATTCTGGAAATAATGGGTTTAATCCTAAGAGCAAACCAGTCTGGTCGTTGGTTCTGCTGATTGGTAGATGAGGCTTGGAAAGATGAACTGTTGAGTTCTTATGTATAGGGTGAGTGGACAAGCTGGGGTTGGTTCAGTATCACCAACCCCAAGGAAGAGGAGGGATGGCATTGAAAGCATCAGAGAATCATAGAGCAAAATGATGGTTTTTGATGTGACAAGCCATCTTTTTCTGAGTCCTATTAAGAACAGTTATATCACTGGAAAAATTCTCTACTCACTTAGAGACCCCTGTTCCACCAACCTCAGAGGGTCCTTGGGAGTTCCTTGCTAGTCACAGTGCCCATGAGTGAGCACTCCCCAATGCTCTTGTCAAGTTTTGATGATGTGCTTCCTAATAACAAGCCCAAAGTTACAGAGTAGACGGTGGGTGAGGGGGTAGAAATGAGAAGTAAGAGATCTGACTGGCCATCTCCTTTCGCACGTGAAGGTTGAGTTTGGTGCGGGTGAGTATTGGTTAGCAGAGGGATACTCAGTACCAAGAGGAGCCAGCACTCTGCCTCTGGTCAGTGGTGCTGACTAGCCGTGGTTCCAGAGATGAGATTAGAACGGGTTTTATCCACACATACCGTATGTCAGAATCTAGGACATTTTGGTTAAGGGCACAGGATCCAGAATAGATGATGCTTCCATTTTTCTGGAGAGTTAGAAGAAAAGTCCACCTTAACCCTAGATTAGGGAAGCCCATTTAGTTGCTGCTTCATGCTTTCTGTTTGTTGAGGTCATCACAGATACTGGCTTTACTGTTAAGATTTCAGTTTCTGCAAAAAAAAAAAGGCATGCAACAAACAAAACATATGAGCTCTTAAGAGGAAATATGTAATATAACAGAATTATAAGCGGTGGCCTCCTGGCTAAGTCTGGGGGGTGGGGATTTGGGAGATTCCTCTAGAGTGATTGCTGATGTGGATAATCTGCAAAACTTGCAGCCCAGAAAATTGTTTCTGCACTGGAAGCTCTGAAGACGTTTTCTCTAGCTCATCCCTCGCTTACTGCAGGTCCCAAAGAATTGATGACATCACCGGGAATGTTCCAGGCTTGTAATGGCTTATTTCCCCTACAGAAAAAAAAAAAAACAAGAAAGAAATACCAAACAGGTCTACAAATGGCTATTTAGTGAAAGACAAGTACTGAAATCAGGATGAGGCACATAAAGTTTTCTTTATAATTACTGTTGCATTGGCTACAGGAATGTTCTAAGTATTTTCTAGCTAGTGTTAATATAGCCTGGTGGTTCCCAGGCTTGGTCCAGCTGGGTGTCCTAGCTGTTACTAAGACATGTCATGCTGTTTTCAAAATAGAGTTAGTGTTAAATGATCATGTTGAGACACACACATGCACACACACACAAGGCATTCATGGAACGGAAATTAAAAGATAATATTTGCAAAAAAAATATTTGCAGAAAATATTTTTTAAATCCATGGGTATGTTCATCATACTACATTTTCATGTATGTGCATATTGGGGAGGTAGACACATTTGGAGAATATAAAGATCATCTTAAAATAAAACAAATGACATAATAGAGCCAAATCATGTAGGACAATAAAGCAGACACAGACCTTTTCTTGTAGAAAACATGTAACTGTTAAAAAGCAAAAGGGTAAGTTATTTTTGATGATTATATAAAAATGGAATCTGATTCATTTCATATGAGCTGTTGGTATGAGTAATCAGCAAAGCATTGGAGAAGACTGATTGATTCAATTTAACAAACTATTCCAGGGGACACCTGCTGAATGAATCAAACCCGGTCCTGTCATTCTGACAGGGATGAGTAGGGATTGTGTACAGTATTTAGTACTCACTTAGTGTTGGTTCTGTTTTGAACTGCAAGAGGACAAGTTCCTGTTCTGCCTTCAGAAATGACAAGCTAATTCATTATCATCACTTTTCCCAATGAGTACAACTAAGAATGAACAAAATACTAAAATTTGTTCTTGGGCCCGGCGTGATAGCCCAGTGACTAAAGTCCTCGCCTTACAAGCGGTGGGATCCCATATGGGTGCCAGTTTGTGTCCTAGCTGCTCCAGTTACCATCCAGCTTCCTGCTTGTGGCCCGGGAAAGCAGTAAGGACAGTCCAAAGCCTTGGGACCCTGTACTCGCGTAGGTGACTCGTAAGAAGCTCCTGGCTCCTGGCTTGAGAGGAGCCACTTGGGGAGTGCACCCATTTGGGGAGTACAACCATTTAGGGAATGAACCAGTGGACAGAAGATCTTTCTCTCTCTCTCTCTCTCTGTAAAATCTGCTCTGCCTTTCCAATAAAAATAAATGAATCTTAAAAAAGAAAACTCAGTTGAAAAATGGACAAAGGATATGAACAGACATTTCACAAAAGAAGACATACAGATAGCAAATCAGCACGTGAAAATATATTCAACATCATATAATATTAGACTGTTGAAGCAGCAATGAGATACCACTGTATACCCATAGAATGACTAAATAAATAAATAAATAATGGCTAACATCCAAAAATACTGGCAAGGATGTGCAAAAGTAAGGACTCTTACTCAGTGCTGGAGTGAATGACACATGGGAGAATCTGAAAGAGAGCTTGGCGTTTTCTTAAAGAAAACTGTAGCTTCATACATCTCAGCAGTTGTCATTAACAAGGTGAAAAGTTACATCTGCTCAGACTGACACACCGCTGTTCACAGCAACCCCATGTGTCTTATAACACAATAGAACCTACCACAATGTCCTTGGGCAGGTGAATGTTTAAGCAAACCTGCTGCACCCCTGCCACTGACTAGATTATTGCATGATAGAGGAAACATAAGAAGAAAACCAAAGGACATAAAGGAACCTTGATTGCATGTTGCTAAGTGGGAAAAAAAAGTCTTTGATGGCTACAAATCTTTTGATTGCAATGACATCACGTTATGGGAGATGCAGAACTTAACACAGACATTATTAGTAGGTAGTCTGCTAATAAATGAAGAAATAAAAGAATTTGGTGAGTTAGCACTTGGCACAGGAGGGTATATACCAGCTTAGTAGGAAAAAAGATTCCAGTCTAGCTAAAGAATTATCCCCCTGGATGGTGAATAGAGTCACTCTCCTGCAGACAGAGCCAAAGGTAGCTCACTACCGTGAGTCTGTTCTCGGGACCCAAATGCCTGATTAATCCACATCCCTGATGATCAGTTCTGTGTGTGTCACCCAGGCCTGATCGGAAAGCAAAAGTTCTCCCTGCACCTTGTACACATCATCATTAACTCAGATTCTGCCGTTATTAACTTGTGTTCTCCTAAGAAATATTCATGTGGCCTGCATTTGAATAATTGTTGAAATTATATATTCTTGTGTGATGTGATAAATGCTAATCACCTAGCTGTAATGTACATTCTGGGTTTTTTTTATTATTATTACATTGCATTATGTGACAGTTTTCTAGGCACTGGGATTCCCCCTCCCCCTCCCCCAACCCTTCCCCTATGCTGGATTCCTCCACCTCGCTGCATTGCCACAGTTCAAGTTCAGTTGAGATTCTTTCATTGCAAGCATATACCAAGCATAGAGTCCAGCATCTTATTGTCCAGATAAGTTCAACGGTTTCTTGTGGAGACCATCTTGTAATGTACATTCTATTACGAGTAGAAATGTATAGTTTAGCAGGAAATGTGTGACATTTTGAATATTTGGTTGAGTTATCACTGCTATTTACCAAGATTATGGGAAAAAAAAGACCTCATATCATTTCTCCATCCCTAGGATGGTACTGTGTGAATACTGTTATCAGTTATTATTAATAATAGCTATCTTTGACTCAGCACTTATACTCTGACAGATCTATTTTAAATCTCAGTTAAAAATCACTGCAAGTTTGAATGTTTTCACAAAGAAAAAATTCAGTGGTTAGACAGGTGGGGATGAATAAGTAAAGCATAGGGAAAATCTGTATGGTATATTTGCATTTATTAAAATCATACAGCCATGTAGCTGAAAGAGTGAAGCCTACACTTGTGGAGTTATCACTAATGTAATAGTCACAACAAACATACCACACTAATACGAGATGTTGTCGATAAAGGACACTGAGAAGTCAAGGGGAGAGAGTTATTTAGAAGAACACCATACTATCCACTTTAATGTTAGTTTAAGTTTATGGAAAGTGCTTTAAAAAGTAGAGACAAAACATTGCAATTATGAAGTCACTGTAATTCATCACATTAACAGAATACAAAGGAAAAATCATGTGATTAACTCAGCAGATGTGGGAAAAATCATTTGACAAAACTCGCCCCTATTTATGATACAAAGTTGGCACTTAATTCATAACAGGCAGGAGGGCCCGGTGTGGTAGTCTAGTAGCTAAAGTCCTCACCTTGCCTTGCATGTTCCGGGATCCCATATGGATGCTGGTTTGTGTCCATTTCCTATCCAGCTCCCTGCTTGTGGCCTGGGAAAGTAGTGGAGGACGGCCCAAAGCCTTGGGACCCTACACCCATGTGGGAGACCCAGGGAAAGCTCCTGGCTCCTTGCTTCCGGTTGGCTCTGGCTGTAGCAGCCTATTCCTCCTGCTCTCTCTTTATCTGATTTTCCAATAAAAATAAATAATAAATCTTTAAAAAAAATTTAAAGTCTAAGTGGCGCAGCTGGAACTTGAACCAGTGCCCATTTGGGATCTTAGCATCTCAGGTAGTTATCTTACCTACTATGCCACGGCACCAGCCCCAACAGCCTATTTTTCTATTGAAAGGAAACAGAACATG